CTCAGCCTGGAATAAGACCCTCAATGGGACAGTTGCCATGCAAACTCACAATATGTGATCCCCCTTCCCAAAAGACTTTAAGAATAAGACTAATAAGAATGGATTATCAATCAGGCGTAACTGCAAAATTAGAAAGAGGTCCTTATTGCTTCCACCTCTGTCATGATCTCAAGATGGGCAACGTAGAGACAGAGAAGGATGGTTAAGCACACTGAGGTGTGAGAACAGCTTCACTCCTGTGGAGTATAAGCTACAGTGTTAACCCCATAGCAGCAGCTATAGTGGCAGTGGATAACATAAAAAATGTTGTTACCATGCAGCAAGGTAATAAATACAGCAGAATCAACAGTTCACAAGTAAAACTCAGCCAGCACTGGCAACTAGAGAAGTGTTAGAAGTGGAAAAGGATGTAGACTTACTAGGAGGTTGGGAAAGCAGAGCCTTTGGGAGACAATGGTATAGAACCTAAGGGTCACAAGATGAAATTAAATAGTGGCAGCAACACTAGCTATGTTCATATTAATAGGTCAGATAGGGCCAGGGTCCAGCCCCAAGCGGTGGCACACAGTCATCCATCCTCTTTGTTTAATTGTTAGCATGCTAGCTAACGTGGTTTTAGCCTGGGCCAACTTCTGTTCTTCCAAATGCTGTCTGACTCCCACTCGGTACTGCACAGATTAAGGTCCCTTCCCAAAAAGCAGTCCAAATGTGGCATGCCCTGGTGTGAAGGAGTGAGATGAGTGCATGGGTCTGAGCTGTGCCATGCCGGCTGGCCTCAGGGCCAGTTGCTGATCTGTTGTATTTACTAGTAAGGCCATAGTCACCGCTGCCAAGAAAAGACAGGGAGAGACAAAAGAGGTATGAGGTTGAGGACTAGGCAAGAGAAAAGCGCACAGGAGATGGGCAAAGAGGGCAGTATAAAGAAAAGATATCCTGAGGTGCAAGTGGGGAAGTGGTTGAAACAAGTCAAGTTTTATATTCTACTCCTTTGTTTACACACTGCCTCTTTAGATTTTAGTTTTTTAAGACATGGACGAATCATCTCTGATCCACATTAGGTATATGCTCAAAGAAAGTGTCATCATTAATACCAAAATTGCCAGAAAATAACAGCCTCTGACTTGTTGAAATACTTTTGGATCTGTAGTAAATCCAAAACCTACAAGATCGTTATTTTTCTCTTCATTCAGTGTGAGAATGAGGAAGAGTGCAGAGACATCAAGAAGACTCATTTAGAGAGAGAGGGTTCTTCACGATTAACTGCCTCTGCCCATAGCATCACAACAGCAAATCACTGCAATGTGAATGAAAATAGGTAAGCATTTTCCTTCTTATTTACCACTGAGTCATACAACTAGTTGCAGTTTAATGCCGTGTGTTATTTTTTCCTTTAATAGGATTTATTTTTTAATTATCACATTTTATGTTGAAAAATTGCCCACTGCATTCTCCTTTCTTCTGGTTTAATGAACATGTTAGCAGCTCCTGACACATTTATATACTCGCATTTTTGTCCTATTGCACAAAGAAGTTGTGAATTCAAATGCGAGGCTTATGGAATGAGTAATTATAGCTAGGGCAGTGTGATCATCGGAGATATATTCCCAAACACCGTGTTGTAGGTACCAATGCACATAGATGACCATCTTACAACCTTTTCTTTCCTTATAGTGTTACAAGTTTCAAACTTAAAGTTTGGCTGTATCTGGGTTTAAATACAATTATCTATAAACTCTGTGGAAAAGACTGAGAAGAATATTCATAACAATGCCTGCAATACTCAGTTTCAGAATATATTTGAGATCCAGGTTTTTTTAGATTACAAGCAATCTATTCTGTGTAATTAGTGGGTATTTTAAGACAAGGAACTCAGACTTTAAAAACAATCAGATTTTCAAAGGATGCAGGGCATGAAACAAATTATGAATATTTAGCATTTGCTGGCATGGTTTATGCACACAGACCCCTATCAATGTCAGATTCATCATACTGAGTTTCTCTGGAGGCTTCCAGCAGTCAAACTTAGACATGCATCTTTTCAGAGTTCAGCTGCGTGCTGCTTAGTACACGCTGGTCATCAGTATTTCAAAAAAAAAATCATTTTCTGGTAGTATCAGGGTATCTCTTGGGGTGGAACTGCTAAAATTAGAGAATAGTTGTATTTATTGCAGTAGGCTTTTCTGTTGTACACATCACTGATGAGTTTGAGCAATTCTTGTCATCAATACTGGAAAAAATCATGGAGAAAACTAATATATATAGTGCTTATTCAAAAATATGCATTCGATTTCTTTGTCCTGACATGTCACATATGTTTCATAAAGTGAAAACAATACACAGAACAGTTTGTTTTATTGTAGGTGATTGCATGCAGGCATGCCATTCCTGTTACCGCAGTGTCATATGTTTTACATCGCATTCATTTTCAGAGAATAGCATGGCTGTCATAGCTTACTATGTCACAGGGTTAATTCAGTGCTTCCTGGAAGCGGGACAATAATTTGTGCTTTGCTTGACATTATATTCAATACTCCTGGTAGCAACTGTACATTAAAGAAACAAAGAAGAAGGTCTTAAACGTATATTTGCCTTCTAATTCTTCCCTGGTCTGCCCTGCTTCCAAGATGTTTCTGTGGTTTATGCTACTGTACGGCATGATATCAAATGCTAATATTCCCACAGCTGAGGATGGGCTACTGAGGCTGTAGCTAAACCAGCAGTGCAGATATCAGGACCTCCTGTCCCTCTTGCAACCATCAACTGCTCATGCCGGCACATCCCCCCTCCAGTTATGCCACCATAGCTGTCTGTGAGGCTCTTCTGTAAATTCACTCAAGAAACTTGTCTGAAACCAGAACTCTTTCTTCTTTTTTTTTTTTTGGCCAGGTTATTATTATTCAGCTCCCAGCAGAGCCACACAGACAGTTTTGACAGCACAGCTGAGGGCTGGTAGCAAAGAGAGGAGCAAAAACACCTTCAGACATGAGCATTTTCTACTGTGGAATTACAGTCTGAGGTGCAGACTGAGCAAGGCCCTGTTTGACAAGGAAGGCTGCAGCGTCAAAAAACATCAAAACCCCAAATATCTTGCATCTACGTCGGGTGCCACAACCTGCCCACTCCCAGCAGACCAGAGCTCGCTGCAGGTTGTTACGCCCAGCTTCTCAGTATAGGATGATTGTGCTGCTGCAGTTTGCCTGCTCACAATACACTTAGGTGGGCCCTACGCAATCTGCCAAAGGCCATGTAGAAGGTCTGCAGCATAACTACAAATTGCAGCTGCTCCTTGCAAGCTCTGGGCCAAGCTTTTGAGGCTTGGGTACGCTTCCAAAGAGCTATGGTTTCTCTTGGATGCATTAGGCCTGCACTTTGACAGTGATGTATGGCTAGTCAAGGCGTGGGTTTATGTTTGAAAGAGGAAAAGAAATGACAGCATCGGCCTGCACATTCCAAATAGTGCTAAAGATCTTATTTTTCTTAGGGGGAGAAGAAGGGCACAGTTGTGCATCTTACACACCCTGATTCTTGCTTTCGTAAACAGGATTGATCATTAAAGCAAAAGAGTTCACATTGTGTTTTAAAGGTACTACACTGTGGGAAACAGGAAAGGTTCTGAATTATGATTCATGGCTTCTTTCACAGCTAGTTTTTAAAGACTTGCCAGATAAATGGACAAATGTATGATAAGAGCACATTTAATTAGCTCTGTTCTCTGAAATGATGTGCAGAAATAAAGTATAGTTTGTACCATATTCTTTTTTGCGATTCCATTAAGTGTATACTGTCTGATACAGTAACTATAAAGAAGTGAGAAATGTCCATAAAAAGTAATAGGCTGAATAAAGAGGAATGTGACAGGGAAAGGTATTGTGTTAAAATAGTCTGCCTGACCTTAATCACAGTTTTAGTCTTAATGCAAACTGTCTCCTTAAAAAAACTTTTATTTTGTGTGTGTTGCTTTAAGATTTTCAGCTAAATATTTTCTTCAAATTAGTGCATCTGAAGTTTATTTCTGGGCATATTTTTACGGTCTGTCTGACTTCTCCTCATCCAAAGCTTCTCCCAAATAAATGAAAGCGGAAAATACTGTCTGTGTTGCAGCGTTCTTCTTTAGAAGACGGAGCAGCTCACATTTCTGTGCGTCTACTGTTTGCATATGTTTCCTTTTGTCTGTGGTACCAGCCTATCTTTCTTTGTCTTCAAAATCTGTATTAGATTAGTATAAACAGTGCTACCAAAGGCTGGGCATTGAGCACAAAGACAAGCCAGTCATCTTTAAACACATTTCCTGTTTTAGTTCACATATGGTTTTATTGCCATGGCTTATAAATTGTCACCTGTAATGGTGAAATAGGGCTCCATAACCTGAACTTACACTTCAGAGCCTAATCTTTGTCTCCAGCTATCCCTTAAGAAATGGTGAGCAAGTGGCCATTTATCTCTGTATTTTTTTTTCAAGTACTCTGATACAGACTTTATATTAACTCCAGAATTACAATTTGCCTTGAAGGG